CCCGCCCCCGGCAACCAGCAGTGTGTTCTCTGTATTTATAGGTCTCATTCTGCTTTTTGTTTGTTTATTCATTGGGTCTTTTTTTTGTTTAGATTCCACATATGAGCGAAATCGTATGGTATCTGTCTTTCTCTGACTCATTTCGCTTAGCACGCCACCCTCTAGTCCCATCCATGTTGTCATAAGTGCTGCAGTTAATGTATATACCACACCTTCCTTGGTCACTCTTCTATGGATGGGCTCAGGCAGCTTCCGTGTCTCGGCTATTGTAAATAATGCTGTGATAAACATAGGGATGCCTAGGTCCTTTTGAAGGAGTGTTTTCATTTTCCTTGGGATAAACACCCAGTAGTGGAATTACTGTATCACAGGGTAGCTCTATTTTTAATTTTTTGAGGAACCTCCATGCTGTTTTCCAGAGTGGCTGCACCAGTTTTTGTTCACACCCACAGCTCACGAGGGTCTCTTTTTCTCCACATCCTCGCCAACACCTGTTGTTTCTCGTGTTGCTGATTTTAGCCATTCTGACAGGTGTGAGGTGGTATCTCCTTGTAGTTTGGATTGTATTTCCCTGATGCTGAGTGATGCTGAGCATCTTTTCATGTGTCAGTTGGCCATCTGTAGGTCTTCTTTGGAAAAATGTCTGTTCAGGTCCTCTGCCCATTTTTTAATTGGGTTTTTTGTTTTTCTGGTGTTGAGCTGTATAAGGTCTTTACATATTTGGGGTATTAACCCCTTACTGGATAGGTCATTGGCAAATATCTTCTCCCATTCGGTAGGTTGTCTTTTGTTTTATTGATGGTTTCCTTTGCTGTGTGATTTGCCTCTTCACTAACCTCGGGGCCTGGATTTCACATTCTCCCTGCCTGCAGCCTCTGTGTCCAAGTCACCACGGGCTCGCTCCCTCCCTTCGCTCCTTCGCCCAGGTCTTGCTCAGGTGTCACCTCCTGGAAGACAGCTTGCAGTGTGCACAGCTGCGCACCCCCTACCCCTCCCGCCCTCCCCTGCCTTCTTGCTCTCCAACCTGCCATCTTCTAGCAGCCTCTTTGCCCTCTATGTTGTTTGCCGTCTCTCTCCAGGATTTAAGCCTCTCGTGTTTCAGGATATTTCCCTTTCATTCACTGCAGTACCTCCTGGGCCTAGAACCATGCCCGGCACGCCTAGCAGGCTCTGCATGCATGTTTGTGGAGTGAATGCGTGCATGCATGAATGAACATGTTCAACATATAACCCTTGAGCACTTACTCCTTCCCAGGCACTGAGCCACATGCTAGGGACGCAGACAGAATAACACAGAGCTCTGCCCCAAGGAAACTGAAGTGTGCAGATTAATACAATAGCGTCGCGTTAAGATGTCTTGCATTCAAGTGAAATGAATCCCACAGCACAGGGAGGCCCCGTGATGATTACACCACCTAGCATCATAGGCGTGCTCTGGGGCTGGCAAAGATCCCCCAAGAATGAGAGCAGCTACATCAAGTGCAGCAGTAGGGGGTGACATTGTTTCTTTTTTCCACCATTCCACTAGATGGGACCTAAGCCCCTACTCGGCACCATGCTTGCTGTGTGGCCTGGGGCCAGTTACTTAACCTCTCTGTGCTTCCACTGCCTCATCTGTGAAGGAAGGATGAGATTGCCCACCCCTCAGGGCTCTTCTGAGGACCGACATCGGTGCCTTGTGTGAGCCTGGCACGGCCGAGATGCTACCTCCTCCGACGGCTTCCCTGATCCCGGACTTGGGTGGGGGGCTTCCTTGGGACTCCTGAGGCCCCACACATACCTTTGGCTGTACGAGGATCATCCCATTATTGTCACCACCACCCCGTGACATACATGTGCACACGCACTGGTCTGCGCTCCCGGCAGGAAGGCGGGTGTGGGTCAGGACTCCCCTCTGACCCCGAGTAGGTAGTAAACACTGATGAAGGCATGCACAGAGGTACCGCAGGCCCACGGTAAGGCTGCGGTTTAAAAGCAAATAAACCGTTTTCAGTAATGTCTTGTTTAAGGTGAGTAATGGCAACGAAGATGAAAATGCATCTCATTACCTGCGGCTGAGCGTAACCTGTACGCTCGGATGCCTGGAGTTGCACTGTGTAAAATACCCGCTGAAGCGGGTTAAGGCTCATTTCAAAATCTATACAATCGTGTGCTGGGGGACCATGAAGTTGTCGCTGCGTGCGGCTGCAATCGGTGTGACTCTCTGAGGGCCTCTGCGGTTATTGAAAAGGAAACAGGCATGGGCAAACCTCACTCCGTCTTCCCTTTAAACCGCCTGCAGATTTTACCTTAATGGCCGGGCTCTTGAGAGCTTTTCCGTTTCTGCTTGTACGGCTGCAATTTTGCTGGGACGGCGCCGTCTCCGAGCCTCTGAGGTTTGGTCCTGCGGGGGGAAGGGGGTCAGCCCCACTTCCCCTGGGGGCCCAGGCCTCACCTGGCTTTGTTGCCCTGGCCCCCCCACCAGCCCGAGGCAGAGTGAGCCCCAGGATCACCTGTCCTCGTTGTTCCCCCCCTAAAAGAACTTGAGCTGTCCTGACCCCAGTCTCTGCTTCCACTCAAGGGGGCGAGGCCCCAGAACTCTGTCCTTGTGAAGACAGAGTTCACGTACCCTCAAGTTCACCCACTGAAAGCAGTTCTTAGAATATTTGGATACTTTCAACCATGACTACAATTAAGGTTACCATGTTTTCATCGCCCCCAAAAGAAGCCTCAGGCCCATTAGCAGCCACTCCCGCTCCTGGGCAAGCACTGAGTCGTCTTCTGTCCCCATAGGCAGGCACAGCTTTTTAACATTTGATGTCAGCTTTGCGTGGAGCATCCCCCAGGCTTCTCTGCCCCGATGACATCTTCGGGGAGCAGTGCCATCGCCGCGAAGGGCCTGAGCATGAATCCCTGCTCTGTCTGCCCCTTACTCCCTTCCACACCCTGGACAAACCTCTACCCGTGGCCCTTGTTTCTGCAAGTGCAGAATGGGAACAGTGACCGAGGACCTCATCGGGCTGATGTAAGGGTTGGAGGAGGCGATCTTGGGGCAGCCTCTCCATGCCAGGACACCCTGGGTGCCCCTAGCGCTACGGGGACCTTGGCCAGAGTGTGTCAGCAGCGCCTGCCTCCCGTGGCCCCTGCCCTGCGGTGCCTGTGCATCTCCCCCTCCCCCCTTCCACTACCTTGTCCCCAGAGGGCCCTCCCTAATCCACACGCCAGTCTCCCTCCTGTTCATCCTTCCCGAGACCCTCAGAAAGGCAAGACTGGTGAGGATGTGGGAGAACTATAGCCCTGATTCGCTGCTGGAGGGGAAAACAGCCTCGTGGTTCCTCAGCAGGTTAAATCTCAAGTCACCATATGACCCTGCAGACACCGCCCCTGAGTGTGGATACCCAGCCAACTAAAAACGTACGTTCACACGACATGGTGAACGTGCATGACATGCGTTATTCATGATGGCCCCAAAGTGGAAAGAGCCCAAACGTCCATCACCAGATGAATGACACACAAAATGTGGGCCTGTGCCATGGAATAGTATTCTGCCCTGCAAAGGAGTGAAGGACTGATGGAATAGT